GCCACACACACACTGCCACCCAGACCCTGTTTGAAAAAGTCTGCTCAGGGGCAGGCATCTGGGCATTTGTTCTATTCTGACTCTTGAACCCAAACATGTTATAGCCTCATATCTCAGACATGCTACCTACATGCGTACATCTGCGAGCTTGAAGTTGAGTTTTGCGAGCTGCGCTTGTTCGATGTGAGAATAGCCAGTGTCTCTCACGTGCCTCCCACACGCTGAGCCTTTTATAGCCGCCGGCTCCTTGGATCTGAATGATGGCTCTGCAGGGTAGAGAGACTGATGTATTTTAGGAGTAGAAAATAGTTCTTTAAAATATGATGTCAGGAAAACATGGACATGGTAGAAAGAAGGGCATCAGATGAGAGGGAAAGGACTCTGCCACCCTGCTCCCCGAAGGCGGCCTCTGTGCCAGCAATTCCCGGGCGTTCTGTGCCCTCTGACCCACAGGGCAGCATCGGGGCGTGTGCCCGGCCTCCTGCTGCTTCCCCCTGCGAAACGCAGCGTGGAGATCTTTGCCTACCGGCTCCTACAGATCCACACGAGTTAGATGCTGTTAGCCCCACTTTACAGATGGGAAAACTGAGGCTTGAAGACATGGAGCCTGTTGCCTCAGGTCCCAGCTACTCGGGGTAGAGCTGGGGTTGGGGTCCAGCGGAATCTGAGGTCGAGGGCGAGTGCTGTGGCGTGAAGCTGAGATGCCGCTCTTTGCTTGTGCAGCCGGGCAACCTTGAACTATGGGCTCAGCCTCTCGGGGGGCTCCGTTTCCTTCTTTGTAAAATGGAACTGGTAGCAGCACCCCCACCTCCCCAGAGGGGACTCAGCCCAGGGCGGGGGACAGTGCTCAGCCAGCCGGGGGGCAGGCAGCATGTGGAGCTGCCCCCCGACGGTGCTGCGTGTCCCCCACCAGATCGGCCAGGCCATCGAGGAGGTCAACAGCAACAACCAGGAGCTGCTGCGCAAGTACCGCCGGGAGCTGCAGCTGCGCAAGAAATGCCACAACGAGCTCGTGCGGCTGAAAGGTGACTGCGGGGCGGGCTGGGGGGCGGAGTGCCGGCACAGGGGTCCTCTACCTGACTCAGGGGTGATCCTGCCCCTCCCCACGGCCCCCAGCACCACTCCTTGGAGCTATGCCCTGTCACAGAGGAGCTGTTGTCTTTCCATCTTTGAGGATAAAGCAACAGAGACACAGAGCAGTCAGGGCTTGGATCTGTCCAACCCTGAGGCCCTTGCCAGTGTCCACAGCAGGACGCCCCCAGGCCTGGGTGATGAGGGGCTGGAACACCACCTGTTCTGACCTAGGGCCAGGCCATGCCTGAGATTTCACCCGTTCACGGCACAAAGGCCTAGGGAGTGCCTGTCCTGTGCCAGGTGCTGCTCCAGACTCGGAGACCTGGCAGTGGGCCCACAGACGCCATCCCTGCCTCTCGGTGCTCACTTCAGCTGGGAGGGCAGACAGTGATCCTCCAGCAGCCAGAGAACCCTGCCAGGGGTTCCCTTACCAGGGCTGGGGAGGAGGGGTGCTGGGGGGGCTTCCTGGAGGAGGCAAAGCTAGACCTGAGACCTGGGCTGGGAGTTGGCGTGGACAGGTGGAGGGGGAAGGTGGGCCCCGGCAAGCTGTGGTGGGGAGTTTTCTCTTCATTCCAGGGGCACTGGGATCCCACCGGAGGGCTTGCAGATCTACTCCTCCAACACCCCGCCCCCCGAAGGCAGCCTGTCTGCCAGCAATTCCCAGGGCGTCCCCCCCGCCCCCCCCGCTCCTATCCTCACAACTGACCTTTTTCCCTGTCCCCAAGGGGAAGCTCCCGCCCTCCACTGGTTTGCTCAGGAAGAAAATGTACCAGTAAGGGAATTCATACTACAGTGTGAGTGACTGATAAGAGCTGTGTGGCCCCGGGGGCCTTGCTTAGAAGGCAGGAGGCTCCTGAGCCACTGGCCTGCTGAGGATTCCAGCGGCACCAGCATGGAAGCCGTCTGGTCTTGACCCAGCCTGTCCCCCTTCTCTCCTCCCCCACCCAACCAGGCAACATCCGGGTGATTGCCCGTGTCCGGCCAGTCACCAAGGAGGATGGGGAAGGACCCGAGGCGACCAACGCGGTGACCTTCGATCCTGACGACGACTCCATCATCCACCTGCTGCACAAAGGGAAGCCTGTGTCCTTCGAGCTGGACAAGGTCTTCTCCCCGAGGGCCTCCCAGCAGGACGTGAGTATGGCTCTCAGGTGGGGTGGGGAGTAGGGACGGAGAGCAGTGGAGAGAGGGGGACACAGAGACTCACCAGGAAAGGGACAGATGGTGGGGGGGGGCAGAAAGCAGGGTGAGTGTGGGGGGAGACAGGGTAGAGAGGCCTGGGTGTCAGGGTCCCTCTCTCCTTCCCTCTGGAGAGAAGAGGGTGGGAAGCTAAGACTGAGGGCCTTAGAAGCCTCTGCTGGGAAGGAGAGATCCATGCACAGTCCCTCCCACCACATGGCCCCGCCCACCCCAAAGCTCCGCCCACCCACGTGGCTCCTCACAGCCACATGACCCTGGCCAGCTCTGAGCCGGGTCCCACCAGCCCGTGAGAGGCATGGGGTCTCAGCATCTGCTCTTGTCTCATCCCTGCCAAGGCCAACCTGCCAGGCCTGTTTGGCCTGTGCTCTCCTCTCTCTATGCCTGGCTCTACCTTTGCCCCGTCCTCTGCCCACTGTCAGGCAGGCGGGCGGAGGAGGCGCCAGGCATGTGACTGGCCTCTGCCTTCATCTGGCTGCGCCCTCTAGGGGTGGGGGCGGGTGTCCTGCGCTCCGGGGCTGGGCGGCCCCTTGCTCAGGTGTTGGGGGCAGTAAGCCGGCCCTGCCTTCCCGACCGTTTTTGGGCAGCGAGGTTCCCATCGGTGTCCAGCGCCCCTGACTCGTTAGTCCTGGATTGCTCCACAGTGAGCTGTTGTCCAGTCACGTGCTGTGTTATTGCTGAAGGAGGGAG